AATGAAAGATATTCAAGCCTAAAAATATATTCAGTTAAAACTCTGAGTTATACTAAATGAAACAAAGTTCAAGGAAAATAGGAATTACGTAAACTTTGAAAGTTTTAAATAAGTGCTTTATGTACATGTTTCCTTTAAAAACACACACACGCACACACACACACACTTTTAGAGTAATGTTAAACACATACAGAAGTAGAATAGTATACTGAATCCCACATAGCCACTCAGCTACCCATTCCCCACTATCCCAGCCTGTTTACTTTGAAGCAAATTCCAGATGGATCATTTCCAAACATACCTACTTCATTATGTATTACAAAAAGATTAAGACTTTTTAAGAAAATAATTTCAATAACATAGCACACCTAAAAAGAAATAACTGTTTAATATCAAATACTCAAAAGGTGTTCAACTCACCAATCAGCATATGACTGCTATTCTGTTGTTGTTGTTTCATTTAAATCAGGATTTATACAAGATTCACAAATTATGATTGGATGTTACGTCTCTTAAGTCTCTACTAATCTGTGTTCCTGCTCTACCTCTTTCCCGACCTTGTACTTGATCTATTGAAGAACCTGGGTCACTTGTCTTGTATAGTTTCCCACCACCTTGACTTGACTGATTGGATGTCTATGGTGTTAACATGCTTCCCAGTGTTTAGGATTTCCTATAAATTGACAATTGGATCTAGATGCTTAATTGGATTTAGGTTTAATTTTTTTGCCAAGACTACTTCATAGTGTTATATTCTTCCATCAGGAAGATCACGATACTTAGTTAACTCTCAATTTACTATTATCTTTTTATATTATCAGTGATTGATGATAAATGCATCAATCCATTATTTCATCAGGAATGACAAAAAAGTAATATTCTCCTTCTATCATTGCTTCTTCATTTATTAGCTAGGATACCTCTATAAAGAGAAACTTCCCCTTCATCTACTATACCTCTATAAAGAGAAACTTCCCCTTCATCTACTATTTTGTTACCCAGTAATACCATTCATACAGGAAATATACCTTATTCTTTAATTCTTTTATCAGTTTTCCAAATAATAAGTTGGTTCACTAGGATCCCTTACCTTGCTTACTTATTTATTATCATTATAAACTCATGAATGCATTGCTATTACTACCCTTCCTGATGTTCTAATCATTCTTCTTGGTCCAGTGGGAACTTCAACATGACACCTGGGCAATGCTGACACGCCCCAGTCACTTTCATAGCTTTCCTTATTTTCTGATATGGCAGGATGACCCAGAATCACCTCCTGCATTTCCTGCCTGGATCAGAATTCAGCATTTCTCCAAAAAGCTCTGATCCCTCTTAATGGAAGATACTATTTCCAAAACACAATCTGGACATCAGGAATGATCAGTTACTGGGTTGGAGTGTTAATTCAAGACATATTCAGTGAACACACACAGGATTTTCCCTTCCTCCCTCCTTCGTGTGTGTGTGTGTGTGTGTGTAACAAAACATACCACAGATTCATTAGATGTTCTATTCAAACTGAGGACCATGGAATTTTTACTTACTCTCCTCTAACTTACATCTGTACCCTTTTCTTCTATATTCTGAATCCTGGATCCTCGATGGCACAAGGAATAACAGAATTAGAATATTATTATAATTCTTCATTTGCTCCACCTCATAATATCCACCCAACAATGTAAGACTAACAGGACTAATTTTACCAACAACAAACTGTTCTTGTTTGTTTGGCAGTTTTTTCCCCCCCCCAATCTTCCTTTGGTGGTATAAATTACTAAGTTTTACAGTTATCCAAAATAGTTAACTCTTGGATGAGTGAGCAACCAACTGGATATATATTTATGTGTAGTTCTGTTATATGATTTTTATTTTAAGAATTACTATTTAACTATTAATATTGTTATAAAGAATTTTATTTTTAAAATAAAATTTGATTATAATTACATAAAATATAATATGGTTTGAACACCAAATATACAAACAAGAGGTTGTCTCACTTCTATTCCACTTCATCCATCTTATTCTCTCTGTTCCCCATAGCTACCTATTCTTTATGGTTATCCTTTTTTATTTTATTTCTTCAACATAAGAAGCTTTTATCTAAATAGTCTTTCACTGTGTGGTCTATTTTATTCACTTTCTCATTTTTTAAAGCACATTTTTTGGAATTTAGGAAAATTTGTATTTTTACTCTAATAAAATACATTTGTGTAATACTGCCCATAATTCCCTCTTTTTTGTTATTATGGTCTCTTGATTACCTTCTATGAGCAATATCATTATTAGCTGGTCATCATGTTTCGTCCTTCAGTTTAAGGGCATTATTCAGAACGTTGTTCAATATACTGGGCTCAAGAAAATTTTTCTCAAGTGTCAGTTTGAGCTTAGATAATTGCTATTTTTGACCATAAGGACAATGATTCATTTAATTCAGGGTTTCTCTACCTCAGTACTATTGACATTTTGGGCTGGAGAATTGATGTGGATGACGTCCTATGCCTTGTAGGATATTTGGTAACATCCGTGGCCTTAATCAGACACTCATAGTATCCCCCAAATCTTTACCAGTTGTGACAACCAAAAATATCTCCAGATATCATTAACTGTCCCTTGTGGGAAATATCAATCACACCTGAGAACCACTAATTCAACTAAATCAAGGTTCTCACTTTATATGTACTACAAGGACAAATTAGTGGCAACTTCTAAAAAAACATGAAAAGATCTTAAGATGAGAATTCTGTGTATTAAATTCACCTAGGCTTTATCTTAATTCTCAAAATTAATATCCACTGTTCTAATGACCAAAAAAGTTGCATACTTTTCTTAGCTTCCATCAGTTCTTCATGCAAAGAAGGAGAGGAGTGAATTCAATCATAGCAAGACTTGGAAAACACAGGAAAGTTATCACTTTCTTTCTTCAAGGTAAGCATTAGGAGTTTATCTAAAATCTTTTATTAACCATGCCCCTAATTAGAGTTGATTACTCCTCAATTCAGCAAATTTCTACATATTGCTGGCTTCTTTATTTTCCTATCTGTAAATCAGAAAGACCACTAAACATAAACTCTTTGTTGATAAGGACTAGGCCTTATTAACTCAACTCTGGACTCATCACATATCACAATGCCTGGCCCAGTATTGTCCAACTCTTACATTATGTTTGAATCAGTGGTATTAAAACAGTACGAAAAATCATCTAAATAGATAGGGGACTCATATATAATGGGTAACTTCTACATAGTCACCAAACCTTGTATTTAATAGATGCTTACCATACACTCACCCAATGGCTGCCAAAGCCATAAAATCTAAATAAACTTAACATATAAAATTCAGAACTAGAAAGCAGTATTTATATATTCTCCCACTGATGGCTATAAGACATTGCCAATGCTTCAAATATAAGTTCCTTTGCTCACTAAGAACAAGATAACACAAAAATATTTTGTGTAAAAACAGCATTTAAATTTTAACACACAGGACCAGCCAAATGTGGGTCGTGGTGCTTAAGAAATGTTGTTGCATCCAGAACAAAAGACAGAAATTGATGGAAAGTATGCCATTCAAATTCTTCTTAACATAAAGACAGCCATTTACCTTTCCTCTAACACTTTTTTAAGGTGCCGTTAAATTAAAGGTGCATCCTTCATAAAACATGAATTAAAAACTACAACAATAACACACAAAAAAGCTCTGTATTTAATTATATAAATTAGGGTGTAATTATTCACATAAAGACACTATTTTCCAAATATCAGGCACCTGAATATACTATCATTTAATTAAAATTTACTATAAGTCACATTTAGAAATAAGTCAATCAGAGAGACAATTATATGATTTCACTCGTATAAGGAGCATAAGAAGCAGGGCTGAGGACTGTAGGGGAAGGGAGGGGAAAAAAGAATGGGAAGTCATCACAGAGGGAGACAAAGCATGAGAGACTCTTAATTACGGGAAACAAATGGTTGCTGGAGAGGAGGTGGGTGGGGGGATGGGGTCATTGGTGATGGGCATTAAGAAGAGCACGTGACGTAAAGAGCACTGGTTGTTATTCAAAACTGATAAACTACTGAACACTACACCAGAAAATTTAAAAAACAAAAATCACATTTAGGCAATCCACTTTTTATAAATTAGTTTATTCCAAGAAGATAATCATTAGAGCATGGGCTTAATGAGCTGATATGCAATCAAAGAAAGTAAAGTAACTAGTGTACCACTTATATATTACCTTGCATACCATACATGGTACACACCTCACATTTGGAAAAACACTGCCCGAAGCAAATCCAAGATAAGATTTTTAAAAGAGCATATCCATGCAGTAATCAAATGTTCCACAAAATTAGTTTAAAATCTGTTTGTACATGTGTACAAACAAACCTAAATTTTATAAAGAATAAACTATATTCTAAATATTATCTTACTATATTCTATATAGAATTTTGTATTATATTATATATTATTACCTATTATATATGAAGATCTACTGATGACTATCAGTAAAATCACATGAGACTACTGGTAAAATTAGGGGCACCTGGGGTGCAGCTCTTCCAGATCTCTGACAATAATTCTGGCCCTGACATCTCTTCAGATAAGTTCAAGCAATGGTTGTATCCAAGTTGATTATCCACCAAAGATGCTATGTTTGGGTTCGGTGTGAAGGCCTCCAACTATTTCCTATTTGATCTAGCATTCAGATGAAAAACACGGAAAGAAAAATCCAGGAATACAACTTTAACTGTTATCCTTATTTACTTTTAGTGAGCAATTAAAAGTCTACCAGTCTGAAGTAAAGTAAGCCCAGTGTATTGAAATGTGAATCTTGCCTACCTCTCCAGCAAGACATTTGCCCAGGTGCTAAACTTAATCAGTTTTTGATAAAAACAGATAATGAATTCCATTCACAGGAGCATGGCTGGATAACAAGAGTTGGCATCCCCGTAAATTAAGATGAAACATGCAGAGAAGAAAGAGCTTTCACTTACTTGCACGAAGGACTGAAGGTGTGACCTCAATTTCACTTGTTGCTTGATAAGGCTGAAAGGCTGAAACACTGTTGGTACCAAGCTCACTGCCAAATATCTCTGGACTCTGGGTCCCCGTGGAACTGGCACTGGTGCCATCACCTCCATGGTGCGGGTCCTGCTCGTCAAACACTGCTACCAGCTAGAAATGAAAGGTACGTTTGCATTTACAAACAAAGGCACTTAAAACTGCCACCAAACAACTGGTGAATCACTGAACTCTACCTCTGTAACTAATACATTATACATTAATTAGCGGAATCTAAATAAAATCAAATTTAAAATAAAGTAAAACGAAATTGCTACTAAAGTTACACCACATTTGACATAAATCTACAGAGGAAAAATACCGACATTTAAGCACCCAGGAATATTATGTTTTAGGAAGCAAAACTTCAAAGACATAGTCTTCCCCTGAGTTTTGATGCTTTACTTTTGTATTTCTAAGTTGTGCGTTTCATATCTGAAATTCTACTGGTGAAAAATAATAAAATGGTTTTTTATCACAGAATGCTAAGGAAGATGGGGTAGATTTAAATCTTTTTGTAAATGATATATTAAGTGGAAAAGCAAATGCATTTCTATATATAATACATGCTCTGCAATACTACATATATAGCAAAAGATATAAGGTACCTTTCACATAGGAGGAAGGAGTATTAAAAACTACACATGTGTCTGCCCATTTGTGCATAAGGAATATAAGAAGGATAAAAGATACGGTTGTCTCCCAGGAGTTGGTAAGAACAGGGATGAAAGAAAAAGAAAATGGGAGCAACGAGGTTAGTGGGGAGGAAAAGACTTAAGTATTTTGGAAAACTATTTTCACTGTTTACTGTTAATGCTAGAGACAAAAAAAAAAAAAAACTGTCTTATCAGTTTGTTTCTCACAAGCATATGGTTTAGAAATCCTCACACTACTATACACACACACACACACACACACTCACACACCAGGAATGATTGAAAAAGAAAAATATTTTGGATAATGAGAATCAAAATTCTCCCTGTCAGAAACAGAAGTTACAAATAAAGAAATAAACTCTGTGATATTAGATTAAAATTAGAGGCATCAATATGAACATGTGTTGTTTTTTTGTTTTTTTGTTTTTTTTTTTAAGATTTTATTTATTTATTTGACAGAGAGAGACACAGCGAGAGAGGGAATACAAGCAGGGGGAGTGGGAGAGGGAGAAGCAGGCTCCCCGCAGAGCAGGGAGCCCGATGCGGGACTCGATCCCAGGACCCTGGGATCATGACCTGAGCTGAAGGTAGTCGCCTAACCAACTGAGCCACCCAGGCGCCCCTGAACATGTGTTTTTTTATAAGTGGGTAGGTAGGTGGACAGATAGATAGGTATGGATGAATGTTAATGCATATGTGGTTCTTAGCTCCCCCCCTCACTGGGAAGTCCTAGAAGCAACCACATACAGTATGAAGGAACACAAGCACCCGGATCTTGGTTTCTGTTACCATTTTCCAATAAATAAACAAGGGCTCCTTAAAGAAATAGTTAATTCCAGGGTTGGGGCAGAGAAAATATATGATGGGCCTGGAACACCTTTGATGTTAAAAGGTAAAGAGTACTCCAAAGTGAAAGAGGCACATGAAAGGGAATCAGGTGTCAACCCAAAGGAGCTCCCAATGGCCAAAGCTGGGACAACTCATAAACAAGTCAATAATGATACAATTCGATTTTAACCCAAAAACAAACCTAATATCTGTAAGGCCATAATGATACAAATAAATAATTGAAGAAATAATTAACGGTGGAAATAGATAGCTCTTCCATACTGTAGCATTCGATTTAAGAAAAAGAGAAGGAATGGTGGAAATAGAAGTCATCACCAAGCAATCTCCACAGCAAGAATTGCTGCAGGTGAAATCACCAATAGAAGCTAAAATCATTGGTTGAGCATATCACGAGAAACAGGGTATTTGCATATCTCAAAGTATCTCCCCACAAAATACTTTTTCATTAAAAAGAGAAAAATGGTATCTTTGCAGGGGAGAAACTTGGCAGACACCACTTTATCAAGGTTAACATCACCAGTAATGAGTCATATCACCTCTGATAAAATGCACGGAGAAGGACATAAAATTACTTTGGTGGTATTCCTGATAAAAATGCATATCTTTGATCTAATCATGAGAAAACATCAGATAAATCCAATTGAGGGACAATCTATAAAATAACTCACACTCTTTAAAAATATTAAAGTGATGAAAGCAAAAGAAAGGCTGATGTAGTTGTGTAAATTGGAAGAGACAGAGGAGAAACAAGAATTACAGGCAGCATGAGGTCCTTGCCTGCATCGTGGACTAGAAAAAGGACACCAGTAGAAAAGAGGCAGCACTTAAATGAGGGCTGTAGATTGGTTAACAGTATTTACTCAATGTTACTAGTTTCCTAACTTTGATAATTGTATTATAGTTATGTCAGATTTTATATTCGAGGTGGATGAAGGGTATATGCAACTATTTTTTGCAACTTTTCTCAAGTATAAAAGTATTTCAAAATTAAACTTTCATAATACAGCATTACAAAATAACAAGAAAATTAAAATTCAATCTATTTCTTCTGATAACCAAACAGTGATAGCACTTTAAAATCTCAGAGTAATAAAGTTCCAAGGGCCAACACCACCTTGGTCATTCACATTACAACCCTATGCCTAGTAAACTAAGCAAAGCATTCCAAGGAAAGCAGAACCATAACTAACCCAAAAAAAACCCACTCCTACCTACCTCCAATTCAAGCTTCTCCAATGCTAAAAGTCTTATCAGTTAAAGGATGGTATGATAAATTTACAGAACATGAGAAGCATTTATAATTACAATCCTCATTTCATAGATGATTTTGTCATTTTGAACAAATGATATTTCCATGAACATTTATATATTGTCAATCAATTCATAACACAAAAAAGAAAACCATCATAAGGTCAAAGAGACATGTACACAACAGGAAGCTCAGAACCCTGCTGTGGCATCATCTATAATTGGCTGATTAAATAACATGGAGGGAGGCTAAATGGTAAGAAGAAATTAAAGTAGGATGAATAGTTGGGCCACTCAACCTTATAATAAGCAACATAAGTGGGAAAAGAAATTCTTAGCAGTTATAAATAAGAGAAAGGTGTTTGTATGTATGCACTGAAGTTTCCATAAACAGAAATAAAATCAGCCTGTTTATCTGACATTGACTGGGAACAACTCCCAGGGTTAGTAACAGACATTCGGCTAGATGAGCAGTCAGTAAAGTTCTGAAAGGTCCAAACAGTAAATATTTTTGGAGCTTTGCAATCCATGCAGCCTCTGTCACAACGATTTGACTCTGCCACTGTAGCACAAAAACAGCCACTGGCAATACATAAATAAACGAGCATAACTAGGTTTAAATAAAACTTTATTTACAAAGCAGGTGATGGACCAAATTTCACCCATAGGCCATAGTTCGATAATCCTGCACTAGAATGCTCATCCATCCACAGTAACATCCAATTTACAATTTTCAATTTGGGAAATAAAACGAAGAGTCAAGGTACCCTGGTAACCCTGATAAACTACCAATATCTATTTCAAGCTCTTCACTGAGATTTTGAATTTCCATACTTGATTTTAATATCATCAGACTTCTCACAAGGTGTGTGGCTTAATATGGATTTTGAAGATATTAAGTTTTGACACTTGGTGTTTAGTTGGAAGCAAATGCAATGCAAGTTTTGTTATTAACTTTTTACATTGGTGTGTTTTCTCAAGAATCAAGTCCTTTCTGCAAACTGAGAATGGAGATTACAAATTACAAAGAATGTGTCTTTAAATGCCACACATGGAAGAACTTATACATATATATTAGTTTCAATAATTATCTCCAGCATTTTTAGAAAACACAAGTATTATGAAATCTGGACTGTGTCATGAACAAATGCTGTTTGAATTTCAGTGGCAGAATCACAGTTGGTGATTTGCAATATGCCAATAACATAAAATTTCCACAGCTTTCTTTTAAACCAAAATTTAAGTGCCAGGTGCAGATATGAAGTAATTTTGTGTTAAATTGGGAAGGGTATATAATTTTAGAAAATCTACTCTACAAGAATGTATATAGTAGCACAGCAAAAGAAAACGAGACCTTCACAAAACATCACATATTAAAAATCTCTATCATGCCCTTCAAAAAATAAAGGAAATGTCTGCTTTTAAATTTGTGAAACATGACTCATATCCATATCTTAACAGATGGAATCTTCACTGCTGTCCATGAGTAGATCATTTTTGAAAGTTCATTTTTACTTTCAATAGTTATGACTTAATCTCTCTTCCAATCCATTCATCCATCAAATCTCCATGAGAACAGACATGTTGAATTTAGGGTAACACCCACAATTATAGATAAACCCACATTCAAATAAACTCCAAATTGCCCATACATTCCTCACCTACCTCAGGAAAAATCATTTTAACTCTCTGAAACATCAGAACCCTCCAAACTGCTTTTATTTTTTTCAAGCTATTTTTAAAACAGCACATGCAAACACTCATAAATCACTGGGATAGAGGGTAGCCCCTTTAATGGGTAAAATTATGTGCTGAAAGCCCAGAGCTGTGTGTAGCAAGGCGTCTAAGAGCATAAGATTCCGAATCAAACAGACCTCCAATCAAAAATAGCTCCAATCGGGGCGCCTGGGTGGCTCAGCCGGTTAAGCGGCTGCCTTCAGCTCAGGTCATGATCCCAGGGTCCTGCGATCGAGCCCCTCATCGGGCTTCCTGCTCAGCAAGGAGTCTGCTTCTCCCTCTCCCACTCCTCTTGCTTGTGTTCCCTCTCTCGCTGTCTCTCTCTCTGTCAAATAAATCAATAAAAAAATCTTAAAAAAAAAAAAATAGCTCTGATCGTACTTCGTAGATGGGTGTTGGTAAATCCACTGGCCTCTCTACCATCTCTCAGTCTTATAGTCCTCATCACAAAAAAGAGGAAGGTGGTGGTGGTAAGCAGAATAATGCCCCTTGTTGTCTATGCCCCAAACCCCAGAACCCGGGGATGTTAACCTTTCATGGCAAAAGGGACTTTAAAACTATGATTCAGATCGAAGACCTTAAACTAGAGAAGTTATCCTGGATTATCCTGGGGAGGCGGACATC